GGACGGGTCCCACCCCGGTGACGTCACAGCCGCGGACACGGGTGGACCACTCATGTTGGACCGGGAACCTATCACGTAGAGTGACGGCCCTTGGTGTGCGCGGGCTGAGATCACGGACATGGCATTGTCATGGTTACCGCGCATCAAACACTTCCCTTGTGGTTGCTCACGAGAAACAATATCAAATATCCGACTCCATTTAGATATACAAGAATAACGGAGACGAAAACTTTCGACACAAATGGCAGTTTACGTGCGAAGTTTCGTAGTTTTGTACTAACAATACGAACGACACAGCTGAAAACCGAAGTTTATACCACTTCCAAACACTGAAGGTAGAAGCGGCGTTCTTAGAAGGTTCCAGAAAAAGAGACTTTGCTAGAAGAAGTGAACAGTTCCCTGAACTGATCTAAATATACTGGAAGGTAAATCCTGGCCAGCTGTGCGCTCCCTGGTCCATCAGTTAGGGAGTCCGTTAAGCAGACAGACACAGCTTGCCGGGTGCAAAGACGCCCGATGGCAGGCCCGCAAGTCCCAGATAATCCATCTATGTTATGAATGCAGAGCTTTTGTATAAGGTTGTGGGTGTTGGGTTACCGCGCTGTCCGTCTGCTACAGAGTTCTAACCCGTGTCTTGATCTCCCAACAGAGAGCACAGCGCTTCCGGAGACGTAGCTTCCGGTCTTGCGCAGTCGCCGAGTTCCTCGAGATTATCTGCGGAGGTAAACAGACCACGGGTATCCGACTCCACCTCTACACCGGGGCTCGCTCGGGGTTATCAAGCGTTCATTAGGAAGTCGAAGAGTTGAGATCAAAGCGTAAGGAGAAGGAGCGGTGCAGACTTGTGTTCGTGTCAAAACAAAATATCCCCTGGGATAAAATCCTGGCGTTGGAGGACATCTGGTCTCGCCCGAGAGGGAGGGGGGGGGGGGGCTGGGCTGTGATGGTGGGAGCTGAGTACCCGCTTTAATGTCAGGAGGCAGGAACAACAGGAGCGAGCGGGCGGTACCAGCGACACGGGCTAGGCGAGATTGTCGGGTAATGTCAGCGAGGAAAAACAACAGTGTCTGTTCTCTACTCGCTAGCACTTGGCTGTGCTTGTCTGGCCGACGTTTGGGGTTCCTTGTGTAGGCTAGCTTGGGGAAATGTTGGCGGGGGCGAGAGAGGGTGGATTGACGGCGGTTG